AACATCCGGATCCATGCGTGAGTGTAAGGATACGCAGTCTAATATCTCAACCCCTCAGGTAGAGACAAAGCTTGAACATCACTAAATGCTGAACTGAGAGGCGAGTGTGAGTAATGGAGTACTAAAATTAACGACGATCAAGCAGTTTGCACAGTAGCATTGAGAAGTGCCAAAATGAACTCAACAGATTTTAGGAATTGCGGCAAAGCATGAAGCTCAATTTATGGAAGTAAGGGACTACATAATATGGCCCACGGTTCAGCACACATACCTGAGCTGTTACCTGTAATGTAACATGAAAAGCCGGCTGACAAAACGATTATTTCCTCTACTCACAGAAATCCTTATGCGTTGCAAATGTAGCCTCAAAAAGTCGTCTCAGCGCTTCCAGAAACGAGGGGCATGATCAGTGCCATTCTAATTGGCAAAAGATGCTTCGTCGGTCTGTCGTACCCTCTCACTGAGAGCCAGATTAACAGAAATGTTGTACTGTACGTATTCTGAGTTTGCGAGATTGTGGGCGATGAGGATCGTAGCTTTTCATGACTGCTTTTGTTGCTATGGGTTGGATGAGACCATCCTTTGTTGCTGACTCCTTTACAACTTTGTGTAAACAGAATGTCGCCGCGTTCATCATCATCCCTTTTCGAGTCCACCGCTGGAGGAGATCACTCAAATGTTTTGCTCCAGAATGCTGCATTCACGCTGCTCAAAAAGAAATTCCTTAAACCCATCTGCTGTCGATCTGGACGCCTTCTAACAGCCTTAAAAGCCAGTCTAATATCTTATTGTTGCAGCAATTGTCCGTTCTTCTTGCAAAGGTTCATGTTGTTTTTAAATGTCACTTTTTCGTTTTTGCACGAGCGGTGAAAATTCCTGCCTATGCTCTTACACAATCCTTAGTATTCTTATTTTTCCTTCTACTCTCAACCGGTAGTCGGCAGCTTTCCAAGCTGTGCTGCGTTGCTTGTGTGTTATAAACGGCTTTTATACTTTGGTTTCATCCGTTAGTACTGGAAGCACACACTGGTCGAAAATTGTCCGCTTCAAACACAAGGACTGTTTACCAAATAACAATATTTTCAATTTTGCTAAAGTGCTCCATGTTATCCGTACTCGTTTATTGATTTTGCAGAGTTGGTTCTCCCTCACAGATATGAGCAGTCTCAGATAAACGTAGTTTTATACCTCATCATTCCTAAGCATGTAGATTTCAGAAGGAAATGGGATCATTTACTTGTTAAACATGACCAGAGTCAGTTTCATGCTCATTTTCTATCACACGTTGATTAAGTCGTCTTTCGACTCTTGGATACTTCTCTTGAGTTCTTCAGGTTTGAAGATCAGGACGAAACTGTGGAAAACCACCAATTGCTTCAGCACAATTCATTGTCTTCAGCTCGTGATTCAGGAATCCTTGAAAACTTTTCATGGTGTTATTATGAATAATTAATAAATATTGTTAATTTAGTGATAGCGCATCACCATGGCAGACCCCAATTTCAATTATGAATTTGTTCGTTTTCGTGAAACTTTGAGCTAGCTGTTGTATTCCTGTAAACCATGGTGGGAGGTCTCTATTTTTCTGCGATTCTTTGGATCTACAGGACGATAAATAAAGATTGCGTAGTCAAAAGCCTTTTCTAAATCGATAGTCAAGCTTAAAGAAGCTGATATTCGTTCACACTCTGCATCATTTGCTCTAACACATGATAATTGTTTTAAAATAGAGTATTTGCTTGGCATTTAGCTAATGATAACCAATACATCGTGAAACAGTTCGTCATTATATAAGCTATTGCGCTAGCTTTAGGAGGCCAAATTTTACACTATTTTCCTCTGAGGTATTGATGGTGGTGCGAATATCAATCCAATGATCTAACAGAGTTATTTTAGTCCAGAAATTGAACTGGTCAATGCATTCGTCATGCTCTCTCTGGAGGTACGACATAAATGATGACTCCAATGTTTTGTCCCTCGGTTTTTGTCACAAGAATTTTCTTATGAAAGTTTAACACAAACAATTGTTACGATTATTAATTATTTTGGCATTCATAATGACCTTCATAATGCCAAAAAATGTTCTTCGCGTTTCTAAAGGGATTGCTCAGCATGCAGACTTAACTGCACAAATTACAGAGGTTTCGAGACATACTCGGCTCGTTGTCGAGGTGCGATGATACAAACAGATCTGCAAGGTCAAATCGGTTTTCGACCTGTAATGGGTCGAACAGAGATTAATGTTGGCAGTGACTTATTAAAAGCTGACATTCAGATTTTACTGAGATCTATCCCATTGTCCATATTCACAGGTCTTTGATCTTTCTAAATTTAAGTTATTTTTGGCACAGATTGCGGTGGTATGTTGCCAATCTGTTTCATGATTTTCGATGACTCGGTGTTGAACAAGAGTGGAGTTGCCTT